ACTGAATTCCCTATACCTTGCCTAGTAGGGGACACAGCGTTAGGCCTCAGCTCTCTTTCCTCGGCCTAGGCTTAGGGGAGGCGGGGCCGCAAACGGCGAATGTTCCGAATCACCAGGGAAAGATGATCAAGGAAGGAGTTGATGGCAGTTCGGAAGAGAATGGGGTCTTCAGCAGTCCATCTACTAAAAGTGAGGAAAAAGAAAAGTCAGGTTAACGATGAGAAGAATCAGGTAGGTCCAGGCACCAGCCCCCTCCTTATACCTAGCCCGAAAGCGCCTCCATCACAGCACTAAGACGGAGATCGGAGATCGGACCCCAGCACCAGTCGCTCACCACCCACCCCCTCCCCGCGCGCACTGCAGACTCTTCCAGAACTAACACAGCCAGGGCGCTGCCATTCACTGTAGACTCCTGAACCACCCCTTGGTGGCGTCGGGCAACTGGGATCAGAGATCTTCGGGCCATGTCTGCCTCCAGGGGGGATCGGAAAGGTACAGTAAGTGTGCTGGGGGAGGCAGTTAAGGCACCATCCGCTACTGAATTTGCTAGCGTCTCATGCGTCCTTACACCTCAGAGGAGGGCTTTTGCCCCAGGATGGTCAAGCTCCCTTCCACAACGTCAGAACACCCAAGCCGCCACCCGAACCCTTCAGTCCTTTTTCCGCACCCCAGGCTCCTCAGGCATGGGCAAGCCTGTCCTGCCCGTCTGCCCACTCCCGTTGCCCCTAACTGCCCCCCGCACAACCTTCTGTCCCTCCTCAGGCTGACGCCATGCTCCCCGCCACCGCACCACTGCCCCTGCCCAGGGAGGCTCCTTGGAAAGGATACAACTCCAGCAGCTCACTTCCAGGCCCCACAGCCACGGGCGCTGCATCTCCAGCAGGTCCCAGGGCGCGCGGTGCCTGCTCAACCTGGGGAGGAGCAACAGCAGCTTCGGCCACTGCTCCTTCACTGCCAGGGCCGCCCTGGCCTTCCGGGCCACTGTGGTCACCCTTGACTTCTAGACTGCCTGAACTCCGGCCCTCAGGAGTCTGGGGGCTCTGCTGGTTGCCCAGGCCTCCTGCACCGTTCGTGGCACCCCTGGCGTCATCCTCTAGGGCCTGCATGCCGCACCGTCCCTCTCAGAGGCCAACGCGAACTGCCGAGACTGAGGCCACCTCCAGAAGCTCTGCCCCTTCGTGCGCAAGGATGCCCAGTGCGCCTGCGCAAACTCACCTCAGGCGAGCCTCCTGGCATGTGATTGGTTGCCGCCCAACCCGCCCCTCCGCCCACGGGCTGCCCAGGAGACCCCGTCGGCTCGGCGGCGTCGCTGGAGAGACGGCGCTCCCTCACGAAGCCCCGCTGCCGAGCACTGCGCGCTCCCCCCAAGTGCGCCTGCGCAAATAGGCCCCGCCTTCCCTGGACCAGGCAGCTTGGAGGGGAGGCCAAGGATTGGGGTGGAGGGGGACTCAGTGAGTCCAGACGAAGGTGAGCAGGAAACTGGTGCAAATGTGGCAGCGAAAATGGAGTCACGCCATGGCTGACTTAGCCTTGAGGGGACACTGGCCACCATGGTTACGACTTGGTGTACACTGAGAGAAAGAAACTGTCACTATGCCTGTGGTCTCTCTCTCTCTCTCTCTGTGTGTGTGTGTGTGTGTGTGTGTGTGTGTGTGTGTGTGTGTGTGTGTTTAAGTTACCCCATCTGTAAATGGCCAGGGGAGGGTGGCAGGCTGGGGGACAGCGGATCATATGAAAAAGTCTCTGCGACTCTCAAACTGAAATTCTAACAACAATGAGAATTTCTTAAAAACATGCTAATGAGCTCCTGTCCCACAGGCAGCCACCTTCTTTGGGCCAACCTAGAAACTCACTTCCCTTGAAGGCGGGCTCTGAAAAAGGCCAAGTGCTCAGAGACACTACCAAGAGATTAATTAGAGCTTTCCACTCCCAAGGCCTTCACAGCATCTCCGAAACCATCTACTCCAGGCAATAAGGGCTACAGCCTTACCCCAAAAACCTCTCCCAACCCTCCCCAAGTAAAACCAAAAGTAAAACAGCAGGGGAAGCACATGGCTGCCAAGAAAATGGGTCTTCCCCAAATTGGGAGGTTATTACTGAAGGGTGCCTTCACTAATAACCATCGTACAGGCGCTACTCTCATGACCTCAACTAAACCCCAGTGCATCCTAAAGACAGAGCTCCAAATACCATCCCATTGGGAGTTAGGGCTTCAATATATGAATTGGGTTTGGGGGAGGGACTCAAACATTCAGTCCACAGGAGAGTGCTACTCAACTGACCCCATACATGTTCACATGAATATTTTTAGTGGGAAGCCAATGATTTACATGACCAAGCATTGAAACAGCATCTTTACTGACTGATAATCCATGTTAGCTGAAGTCAGAGGTATGACCCGAAGATAAGCCAAGGACTCACAGGGCCTCCCAGTTGAGGGGCAGGATGGAAACAGTAAGCTAAGATTTTGTCACAGAAAAATTTTAAATCGATTCAAATCCAAATGCCCTAATTAAGCTCCTGGATTCTAAGGAGGTACTGAGGTCACAACACCTGTGGTAACTGATGGTTATTCTACTTTCCCTCAACTTCCACCTGGTGTGTCCCCTCCCCTTCCTTTTGCTCCCTGCTATCCTAGCCAGTGGTGATGACTGCTCATGCTCCTGTGCCAGGCCCCGCCCCTCACATCTCAGGGCCAGGAAGTGACACAGGCCTTGTCTAGGTTGCTCTCTGCTGTTTCCAGGCCACTCTTCTACCTGCTGTGCTGGTTACTCTCCTTTGCCAGCCCTGTTCTCTCCTCTAGAGGCTGCCCCGAGCTGGCTGGTGTCACTCAGGAGGCTTCCTTGCTCAGGGTGCCAGTTAAGGAGGTTGCTGATTAGGCCCAGGCTTGACATAGGGAAGATGCCCGCCCCTGGTGCTTGCCCATTCTTGTCGGCTGCGGCATGCTGGTAAACGTCCGACAACGGGCTCTCCAGGCGGCGGGCAGGAAGGTGTTAGAAAGTACGCATCCATACATATGTAAGTTTATTAGAATTCTTTTTTTTTCTGATTTTTAAAATACATCTTGTGGTGGGGAGGGGATGAGGTTTGTTTATTTATTTACTTATTTTAATGGAGGTGCTGGGGATTGAACCCAGGACATCATGCATGCTAAGCATGCACTTTACCACTGAGCTATACTTTCCCCCTTAGAATTCTGTTATAACGGAGTCACACAAAGAATGTGAGGCACACTATTTACAAATAATAATAAAACAATAACATTCTTTATTGCAAATTCCACATACCTCTTGGAGTCTCATAGATTGCTTTAGTTAGCTTTTAGCCAAACTCTTGTTAACCATAGCCAATCTGTGGTAGCAAATGATGAAAGAGTGCGGTCCTCATATGAATATTGGTTGATATTTTCATTCATGTTAATGAGTATGGCAAAAATGAAACAGTGGAGACATATGGCAGACCTTCATACACTAATCAGTGACATGAGAAACTTCTCAGTCAAACAACAGTGTTGGAATACTGGAGAAGAGTTTCCTCAAATTCTTATGCTACTCACAAAGGAACAGCTACAGATATGACATGAAATCGTAAGTGCATTCTTTCATCATTTCCTTAAGTCTAGGCATCAACAAAATCATAAACCAAGCCCTGACTTGTGGCATTTCCCAGCCTCCAAGGTATCAATACTGGAACCCTGGCCAATTTGAAGCCACCAGCATGATGTCACTGAACACAAGAGTTGGGAAGAGATGTGTACTCCCTCACCATTATACAGTATTTCCACCACACACATCCAATAAGTAAAAATCACCCCCAAAGCATGGGTAACGGTAACCAGTGCTAAAATAATTAGAAAATGACTTCTGGAGATCTGTCAAACAGCACAGTTCCTATAAGTCAACAGTACTGCAGTGTAAACTTATAATTTGCTAAGAGGGTTTATCTTATGTTAAGTATTCTTACTACAACTTCGCACACACAAAATAATAAAAGGGGAAGGAGGAAACTGTGCTTGATGATGGATATGTCTATGGCCTTGAGGGTGCTGATTGTTTCCCAGATGTATGCTTAAGGCCCAGCTCATGGAGTGGTATATGTTGAATATGGAATATGGACAGTTTTTTATATATAAAGCATATG